TTTGCGGGCGGAGACGGGAGGACAAAACGGACGATTGTCAAGGCGACAAACGCAACCAGGGCAACTAGCAACTTGAACGTTGCAGCAACAAAGGGACGCGCCGGCCGACAGAAAGGAACGCAGACAATGCAAACCAAAATGGCGACGATGGCAATACCAACGGTTTTCCAGGGATAATACTCCCAAAGGAGCGGTAACGTGGGGGCTTCATAGAAGCAGGGCTCAAACACACGGCGGTGGAGGTGGTCAATGTAAATGCGATCGTAGTTGTACTTCATGTTGAACTTGAAACAATAATGCTGGTGAAGAAGAAAAAGCGAAAGTTTGCTCTCTTCTTAATAACAATAGATAATTGAATATCCGCTAGACGCGTGACGTAACAACTTTTTTTCTCAGCTATGCTCGCTTTGGATGAAGCGAAGCTATAATAAATAGAGAAATAAAGGGGTTGGAGGGCTAGAGAAGTACAAGTACTATGGAAACGGTCGTCGTCGCCGTCGTTATGGCGCTGCATGATGTCTTCTTTATGCGTGGAATGTTTCACATACGGGTCTCCGCTTAGATCTTCCAGCCACCGTGTCAAAAAAAAAATTCAATAGTTGCGACGGTAACAGTAATAAAACGTGTTGTAAAGTTGATAGTGCGCTCGTCGTGATGGCCAAGATTTGCACAAGCACTGACTGTTGAACGCTAATCGGTGCATTACCAGTGGATTGTCAAGATCCTGCGGAAAGCACCACTACTGCTGTGAATTTTCCGAAAAAAATACTGGAAGTTGACAGAAAGCTTCTTATTGTGTAATGTGATGTGTGTGGCCTTGACTCAACCTCACTTTCAGAGGCTACCGCATCAACTTGCCACAATTAACAGCACTGCTGTGATTAAACGGTCTCTACGACAAATACTATTGCTAGCTTCTTTGTTACGGCTTGTAGTAGTCTGGAAACGTCGGATAAGCTGCAATATGTAGCTGCATCTGGCATCACTATATCGTGAAGAAGGTCCCTACATACAGTACTGTATAGCGACACTGAGCTAGGCAGAAGCAATTTCTGCAAGTGGAAGTTTGCCTAGTAATATGTTTAGAGAAGACTGTTACTAATGAAGCACGCCTAAATACTAATATGATAAAACGAGCAAAAAGCACCATGAACGGAAGATATATACAAATCGGGTCTTGACAAAACTATGTTTTGGAATAGAATATGTGCAGAGAAACGAATTAATGGAGGGAGCAACAGAGAGAGAGAGAGAGAGAGCGTGTAATTGAATAAGAGAGGCACATAGACCACAGACTGAGAAAATTAGGAAGAGTGTGTGTCGTGCGTTGAGAGAGAACAGACTCTTTGAATTTGTATATTAATCAGTAACAATAATGACTGCTTGGTCGAAGGAAGGTTATTTAAGGCTGTGTCTGCAATCGGTGGTTCTCTCGTTATTACATTCTTCAATATGCTGCTTGTATGCAATAAGCTTGAGGACGCGCTGTTATGACCTTTAAACATTACATCTCATCTTAATCTTATAAGTATATATAACAAAAAGTTTCTCAGCGACACCTGACGAAAAGCAAAAGTATTTAATCCACATTACATGATAGCAGAATAGTAACGATGCATCATGCAACACATGTTTCTTCCATGACTACGTGTGTACGGCTGTGCGGAATAGCGTAAAAGTGACGGGCGCGAGGCTCATCTTTCGTCAGCCCCACGCTGCTATTCTTTATTTCTACAGAATACATTGATAAACTGCCTACCTGTTTGCTCTGGTTTTATTGTGAGCAAGTGTGGCACAAGGAGAATAAGATGAATTTTATGTTTTTTTGCGAACATTCTTTTAGAGTACATACAAGTTCTATGGTCGACTTCACAATGCGAACATTTTGCTAACTTGACGTTATGTATCATGAAGGGAGCTCACCAACCACACATTTAGCAACCCTGACGGTAGTACAGGGAAAAGGTAAATATTTTGGTCACGCGCAAGTTCTACTACCACTATGCCCCCTTGTAGTTGTAGCTTGTTACAGTGGTTCCCCGTTTAATTTCAACCTCAAACGGGGTCTATATAGTGTGAAACTACTGAGGGTTGACCCAAAACGAGGTTGATTCAAGCAGTGTAATATGCTTAAAGGGAGTATAGAAACAAGTTGAAAAAACTGAGGATTTATCTTAATGAGAATGAATTTTTTCGCGGAACCACTGTAGTTTTATCGGTGGGCGCACATTTAGCTGGAGTATTGATAACATGTAAATAAAGATGCGATATGGCCGATTCTGAGAAAAAGTAATCTAAAAGGCCCTAATCTGTTGCACAATAGGGGTCTTTGACAGACGACGGAAAAGTTCGGTTTCACAAACATGTAGTACCACAGCATTTCTAAAAGATAACTTAATCTGGAATTATAGTACATAACATTACTTCCGGGATCCAAATTCACGCGAGCAAATCCATCTCTTTGCTTTTCTACACTGATATAATAGTGACTCTCTGTTGATTAAAGCACTCTGTGTTGAACTCGGCATCATTCCGTAGTAACTGGTATACTTTTATTATGAAAACAAACTGTTGTCGATATGTAGTACGCGTCTACGGATCTAAATACGATTTATACCGGAACGATGTTTTCTTGTAATCTCTTGTACTATTAAGGATACAGTATCTTTATTTGTAACATCCTTCTGTGTGAAAATGTGTCAGCAGAAGGGAAATGCTAGCATTTATGACTTTTATCACCATTATAATTCCCGCAGCAAACAACGATATGGACGTGCGCCAAGTGCGCTTAGCTGGGTGCATCCTACTTAGAAAAGCGAAAAGTCAAAATCCCCATTTTTGCGTTATGGTGTAGCCATATCTGTAGTTTAAATTTTACATGAAAGATTCAGTGACCTTGTGTAATTGGTCGCTACCTTGCGGTATACCACAATTTAAAGAAAAAAAGCCGTATAATGGAAAAAAGTAACGGTGGAGGAGGCCATATGTAAACGTGCTACTTATATACATCGATCGTTGCTTTAGTGGTTTGTGATCATTTCAGAATTATAGAAGTATTACAACATGTTTACGTATCAATACGTTTGGGCAGTAAAGAAATAAAATAACTATGCTCTCCTTTGCCTCACTTCATCGCTTTGGTTCAATCACGTTTTCATATTGTATGCTATCTTTTAGCACGAGTATATAGCACTAGTTGATTAATAGTGAAAACGTTCCCGAGTTTCTGGGAGCGGAGATATTACGGTTGAATGATTTATATCCCTGGTGTTTATTTCACGCCAAGCATTTGTGGACTTTTTAAAATTAGCAAAGCGGTTCTCCCTCCCATCCTGAAATATCGGTTTAATACCCTTCTTTTTCCTTATCCTTTTCTGACAGAAATATCAACGATCAAGGAGTATAATAATTTTGTGCTTTTTCTTATATTAAAGAACACTCAGCAGCGCTATATCAATAAGGACGAAGCGCTGCACAATATGTAAAATTGTACCTGCTAACGAGCTATCGCTAATGTGTCGGTGAAAATATGATATACATACTCCGGCCATCCTTCAAAATGATGAGTTAACAGCGAGCCACAACCCCAAAGTCGTACTATTTATATCGAAATGACCTGACTCAAGAAAAAGCATATCGGGTAATGCTTCGATACGATGTTGCATTGGATTTCCGAAATTGTTTGTTTTTACTACTGACTGTAACTTAGTAAAACAAAAACAAATTAACGACATCATTCTGCGGCAGTAACCAAAAAAAAACCCCCATTACCGCTGTTTCTCCCATACATTAATGTTTAATGTCTCACTTCTGAGCGGTTTCCCCCTCTCCCTCCCCCATCATCAACGCCCGATAAACTCGGCTTGATTTACCGCGATTTAGCTGATTAGTAAAACGAATGGCTGTATTTGTCATCCGGTAACTTTGACGCTTATTTGAACGTGTAAATGATTCATATATTGCTTTTGTCTATGCCTATTAGAAAGGTGTATCAAGGCGGACATAGTACCAAGAGGTGTTTTACGATAGCTTTTAGTTGTACCAGAGAGACTATTTCAAGATATATGCGTGCCTGTAACGACGATGCTTTATGGTATGATGGTACTAGGTACTGCAGGCATTTCTTCAAGATACTAGGACAGCAGCTTCCGTACTAGCGTTATTAATACTAAACACTATGCACTTTTGCATGTAGTGGAACAAAAACAACTGCTACTGCTAACAAGTTTCAAGACCGAAAAGAAGAACCGCTTTTGAAGGCGCTATCCAATAGTTGACATATCATTGGGTGGAGAAACTGGGAGGCGATTCAAGTTTCGGCGGAAGAAAAAGAGAGTAAGTACCGTTGTCGCCGACTATCTATGATAGAGCTTTTCTCCCACTCAGATTTGATTTGCAAATCCACATGATTGAACTTGTAATATTCGCGTATTACATATACATCTATTGAATAAATCGGCGATTAGTTTCTTTTCCGGTAATTTAACATTCTTGATAAACCAGCCAAGGGGTTGTTAAGGTGGTTTTAAGGATCAAGAAAGTTGCTGCTATTTCTTGGTCAAGGTATTCTAATCGGAGGTAGGGAAGGGGTTTGAGAGAGAAGAAAACAGAGGTAGTGACAAATTGATATTCTTTCATTGGCGCCTATTTATTGGTCGGTTGGTAGGCTTTCACGTAGATTTTCTTTTCTTTTGCCGCGGCTTATTTCTTAAAGGTAATTTTAATCCTTGGTTATTCAAATGAAGAGCTACTTGACTCGTCCCTACATGATTTATTATTGTTTGCTCCCGAACACTTAGTGATCTATGTATCGACTCAGGTTTATAACAATATCTCCAAAAATGTCAACGTTACCCTTCATTCCCGGGAACGATTTTGCCTTATACACTGCAAACGGGGCTGAATACACTTCGGCAAGTACTCTGTCGCTCCTACTCGGGAAGATGAAAGAAGCAAAAACGTTTGTATGGATTGAGTTCAAAGGTTCACCCGACAAGTGTTTAATTTTGGCGTGTACTACTTGTTGAATGTTTCTGCTTAGCGAACCTTCCAAGTGCCATCAAGCTAAAGTGTAATCGGTATGTGCCTGAGACCCGAACGGATAGGCCAGGAAAGGCAAAGTATATCCCAGGTCGTTGATCAAGCCCTTTGTACGTCGAGGCAGAGCTGACTAGAGGTCCTAGGAGAGCCCGTTCAAGTCGTGGTTGATCGCCTGCTTCTTCGTTTGGTAACAGTACATCGGATCCACTAGATGTGGGAGCCAGGGTAGATTGATCAGTCGCCGTCGTCGTTGCTGTCGTATCCGAAAGATCCAAGGTCATCTCTGTTGGAAGAAAAGATGTTGATGATGAGGACGATGCTACTGGTGCTGTTGTTGTCGTCGACATCATCGAGGGTTGACTGCTATTAGGGATGGCAGCGACGGCATTATTGCTGCTGCTAATGCTGCTGCTTCCACGTCTAGTTTGAGGGTGATGCACAAAATCACATTGTTGGCTCATATCAGCAGAGTATAAGGACGCATGAAGAACAAAGAATGGATTTTGAAGCGACCTGTGTTGAATTTCGATAACAAAAGATTATTTACTTTCGTGCATGTTATTTTAGTATGATTCGACCGGTGTACGGTTTAAAAAGCAAGGAGACCAGTTACATAGATCGAATGCTCAGCTTACTCTTCATCCATCCGCTGGTCCTGTTCCGTTACCAAAAGGTGGACAATAGGAGTTGGATCGATAGGTCGTCTGTCGCTGCTGTTGCTGAATCCTGTGGCGCGACAACTCCTCGGTTGTTCGACGACAGTCAACGTAAACGATCTACAAATATATAAAAGGTACCGCCAATTAGTAAATTAAGATAAGTGTTACATGTGTTTTAGTAACCAGATGAAAAAATTGCTGACGATCAAAGAGAAGAAGCATGGCTGGTTGTTATTGCGCGGTATACGTGCATCATAAGTGTAGAGGGGCGACGCATACTTGTTATTTATATCGATGTCGCTCTGTTCAGGAAGCAGGGAAGGCATACTTGGAGGTACGTCACCCATCATTGCGCGTACCTGGTCGCTGCGCTTCACTCGCATACTGCTAGACCTATATACTCCCAAGGCCGCTGTGCTGCTACCCTCCTCGACCGAAACTGTTGTTCCTGATGATTCTCCTGTTTTCGGTTCTACAACCGGTACGTACGCAGACGAGGACGATGATGATTCTCCCATATCAAACGCGTGATTACTCGGTATAAACGCTGTCGTGGTATTTTCAGTCGCTGTTGTTGCTTCGTGTGTTGAAGCAGCAGGAGCAGTGGTTCTCGGTGGAGCAAAAGAATAGGCTTCAAGGGTACTCGGTGCTGTGGTATTGTTATACTTTTGGTAACTGATCAAGTGGTATGAGGTAGTTGGGTCGTGTGTTCGTGGTGGAAGTGCGGGCAGAGGGAGCGTAGGTGGTGGAATACTATACGTAGGGCCATCGTCGTCTTCTCCGGTATCGATACTTTCGTTCTCTGCTGCTGAACGACGGTGGGGTTGGGAGGAATAATCGTTGAGGGTAACTGAAGAAGACATTGTGGCAGGAGGCAGGACAGACGAAGTAGGGTGCGGAGGAGTGCCTTCAGGCGGTATCTGTGTCATGATGATCGGGTATGGAATACATAAATGGGTGATATATAAAGAGAGGGCTTTTGGAAAAGGGAAGCAAAAGAAAGAGAGAGAGAGAGAAAAATCAAAAGTGGGGGCGACTGTCCTACTAAATAAAATGTTTGCTGAGACGCATCAGTCCAGCGCGGAACCTTTTTCGTTGACAGCCGCTCGGGCTGCGAAGCTGGAAAGAGAGAGAGAGAGGGGGTTCCCAATCTTCGTTTACCCGATAAAGGATATGGCCGTTGCACCAAAATATGAATAACAGAGGGGTTTTGGCAACATTGGCGACCGAAACAGCACAAAATGTAGGGTATAATTCTTTAAAGATGTAAAAAACGATAGGCCCTTGTAATAGCAGCTCTTTTTCACATTCTCTTTCCTCCCTTTAACAAGAACAAATAATGCGATCATCAAAAGGTTATTATAACAACGGCGGCTATGGCTACAACCAAGGCTACAATCAGCAAAGCTACAGTCAACGCTACAATGGTGGTGGCCTAGGAAATGCTTTCGGTGGCGGCATGGGCGGCATGGGCGGCATGAGTAATATGGGTGGTATGGGTGGTGGTAGATTCACACACCCACCTCAAAGCAGCAACTACTATGGTGGTGGTGGTGGTACGCTCTTTTGTGTTCATAAGTAGTGACAAATCTTTGATCGCCAATAGCACTTAACGGTTCCTTTACATGTTTGTTTTAGGCGGATACTACCGACCTCAACAACCAATGTACAGTGGCGGCTACGGTAGACCACCACAGCGTAGCGGCGGAGGATTCGATACTTGTCTTGCATGGTAAATTTCCCAGTTCTATGGTACTTGATTACGCCTCAAAAAGCATACCACAACCAATCTCACTCACAAAACACCATGTGTATATATAGTTTGACCGGGCTTTGCTGTTGCTGTGCAGCTCAAAACTGCGCGGAAATGTGTACGATGTGATTGTGTGAAAGGAAGGGAGTCTAATATAAACATAGACTGTGTACTTGGTTCTTTTCCTGTGTTGATTAAGGAAACAACTCTTGTATATCCCTTTGAGTTGGTTATTTAATGATGTACATAAAACAATAATGAACGCTCGGACACACGAGCCCAGAGGAAGGGTTTTGGGGGGGATTGCCCGTTGATTTCCTAAACTAACTGCGAGATCCGACTTCTGGGGATTCGAACTGCTATTGGGTTCTTTTTGTATGGGGTCGCTCTTTCTAAAACTCTAATGGATCAACATTCGCTAGTCAAGTGCACGCATGAGCATTGTCAGCAGCTGGGTACTACTAGATTGCCAGTTCCATGATTTGTTCAATTCGTCATGTGCTCATGTAATACCCCATTTTAGTTCCACAAGATCTGTTGCAGTTGCACATGGATCAACATTTGGCAGAACAATTAGAAAATGAGGAAGTTTTGTCACAGATTCAAGACAAGCAGCAGCAGCAACATGACACTACAAAGTCACTTAAGGTAATATGGTATCTGTTTAACTTTGATTGCTTTGGACCTGGCTAAATATGTTTGAGAGATTTGTATTATAGAGAAAGCGCAAAGAAGAAGACAACGACGATAATGATCGACATGAATCAGTACCCCGGCAGCGGCAGTCATCAATATTAACAGCAGCGGCAGCAGCAAGGTTCACATCAGCCGACTACGAAAGCTATACACGTACACATCTTAACAAAGAAAAGGCACTGTGGGAATCACCAATGCCAGGCAGCGATCGGACATCAGGCTTATTGACACAATTGGCTTTTGAGTTTCGCAAAATACCGCAACAGTCTAAAAACAAGCTTCAACGAACCGTTTATTTGGGAAGCAACAGGACAGATCTCATTGTCAGCGATTTTTGGGATAAAGGATGGAGTTGTGGCTATCGCAACTGTCAGATGCTCATGTCCTTCTTGGAAAAGACAAACGAGATGGATGAATCAGTTATCAAGCATGTCATCAGTATCTCTGGTTTACAGTCTCTATTAGAGCGGGCTTGGAAGGAAGGTTTGTTTCTTTTTCCTTTTCCCTTTCTGTGCTACATGAGAGGAACATCCCCCGCACCCCCCACCTTTTGTGTGAAGATAACCCAAGAAAATTTTTGGACCCGAAAACTAGGATTTGACTCAGTCGGCGCGTTACAACTGCAACGTCGGGTGTACAAGACACGCAAGTGGATCGGCACTACAGAGGTTTACACATTGCTGGTGTATCTTGGTATCAAATGCACTATCCTGGATTTCGACGCGCCCAAAGCTGCCGGTCCAGCAACTACTGGATTGTTGGCTGAGCGTTTATTTGATTGCGTGCAATCCTATTTTGAAGCGTCTGTTGTGGTGAATAGACCGTCATCTAGCAATAGTGACGACGGCAACGACAACAGCGTCAAGAGCAGAGAAAACAACGTATTTACACGAATGATGGTGTCCTCTGCACGCGCTGGCAAACACGTGCATATGACCGACAGACCACCCATGTACCTACAGCACGCGGGCCACAGTCGAACTATCGTTGGCATTGAAATATTCGATGATGGTATACGGAACTTGATTGTCTTTGACCCGGGAAGGCGGACACAGCGTGGCAAGTCGTCACCCATACAAGAAAACAAACACGGGAACGAGTCTGATCAACGGCCGGCTGCTATAGCGTCATTGCAATCGTACCGAGTGGATACAAAGGCGATTGAAAGAAATAGTCAATATCAACTTTTGGTGTTAGGAGAGGCATCCCAAAGACCGTCTGGAGCTATACAGTGGCCATCAACCGATTCAAATCATTTCTTGCTAACAGAATGGGAACGTGATATCATGAAGCAAGTTACCAGTATTAGAGTCATATAATCATCACTATATTACGTGTAAATACTATTATATATTTAGTGTACCAAATAATATACCCAACTCCTAATTGTATAGTTATACAGGAAGATGATGATGCAAAACGTATAATACATTAATTATGAATAATAATGGTAATAAAAATTAAAAAATATATGGCTTTTTTCAGAGCAATGCGCCTTGTGGAAACCTTCGTCTACTTGCAGTATCAATGTCATACTCTAGAATGGCATTGTCCACCCCAACAAACATCTTTTGACTATCGCGCGAAAACTCAAGACCCGTTATTGGCGTGTCTTGGCCTGCGGGTCCTACTCGTATTGTCTGTTGTGTGTCAAATGTTCTGGCATCCACGATATGTACATGCGAAACATGCTAGTTTTAGCGGTCTCAGTTAGTACCTATACACTTTGGAAATAATCCGCTTCGATTGATATTATTACCTCTGCGTACGCAAGCAAATCAACGGCTCTAGACTGCGTGAACTTCACGGATCTTACTGCTCCCTTTGTGATCGATGGCTGATACAACAATAAAAGAAATCATTATGATTAATTGAGAGTGATAACACACAAAGAAAAAGAAGAAGCGCATACATTGCCGACACCGGTGAAACAATGAAGAGGCTCCCGATTCCTGATATCCCAAACATGTACAGAGCCATCCTGACTTGCCACAGCAAACTTGTCCGAGTTACTTGTCCATGACACTGAAAAATTTGCATCCTTTGATGCTGCCATGGTAGCCACTGCATCATAGCGACCACCTGGTGTAACAGCAAACAAGTGGACCTTTTTGTCATCACCGACGACAATCATTTTCCGTCCGTCGGGGCTCACAGATGCTTTAATGCGCCAAAAAAAAATAATCAATGTCAGCATAACGCTTCTTAGCTGTTCAACAAAAACAACAACATATACACATACTATGGTTGACCGCTACACTAAACGGTATTGTTTGAAGCAATTGCAAACTTGGTATTGAGAATATTCGAATCGTTGCGTCATTGTTCGAAACAATTAAACGTGTCTCGTTATTCACTTTCGAGAAACAGAGCCCGTTATTGATCGTACTATTCGGTGAGGTGGTGATGCTCCTATGACGTGAGGCATGCGTAAGTTTTTTTTTTCTTCGTTCTTTTACGTATGTGTTCATTTCCCCTCAATAAAGGAATATGCGTGTATTACACTTCGTAATCGGAATGGAGATCCTTCACTGTCAAATCGCCACGCTGTCCTCCTGCTGCCCAGTAACCGAATCTACAACAGCATGAATGTCGAAAGCCAAGTCAGTCCGATAATTTACTACTCACATAGAAAACAACTTTTTTTATTACCCTGTGGCCATGCAGGTGGCATGGTATCCTAATCCCTGTAAGAAATATCGCTGACGTCGTGTGGTATAATCATACTATAGAGGAAACAAAAGATAACTCTTGCATAAATTGACAAACTCAATACTACATTGCGCATATTCACCCGCAAACCGCTCTTGTTCACTTTGTAAATACTTGCTCTATGCACGTCTTGGTCGACTGGTACGATCAATTCATGTTTGAACTGAGGATCATCTGGCTGCATTATCAAATCCCGTAATTGCCTTGTCGATTTCCCGTTAATCGTGTGTTAGATTGTAGCTAGAAGTGGACAAGTGTTATGACTGAAACAAACTCACCAGTGATGAATGGAAACCTTTTGGTCATGGATAAGAGGATCCATGATGACAAACTTGGTCGTTGGGTTACTGGGACAAGATCCGTTAATGAGTTTTATAACGAAAAGATTTCACTCCGTCTCTGGTAAAGAGCATCAAAACAACGACCTACTTTGTAATATCTGTAGATTCTACAATGGTCATTATTAACGATAACTTGTTGATTGGGTTGTATGCGAAAAGAGGTTGAAACCTTTCGTATTGGACTGGAATTTTATTCTGAAATCTAAAAAGAAAGACCGGCGTAAATGCTGCATCAGTGGCGGAGGGTGAGCGGGGTGGAAGGGAGAGAAGAGAGTAGAAAGGGAGGGTCTCACTTGCTTACTGACTCAGACCGCTCAAAAGATGCATGAAACCCACCACGTCTCCGGCAATCGGTAAAACTGAGAGGAGATACCTGACTGGTAACTGAAAAAGAACGCGGCGGAAGGCATCGCCCCACATGCGTACACGCGATTCATATCTCTTCTATGATAAAGACTAGTCACGTGGCTCATTAAACCGCCACACACACAATGTTAGTACAAGTGGTGTGTCTGTCGGGCAACACAACCTTTTAGTATAGTCGTTGCTGGTGCAACCATGAAAACCGAAGAGCGCAGTCTCCTAGGGCAAAACCTGCTGTGCATACAACTGCTTGACTTTTTTTCTCTGGTTCTTTCTACAACACTCTTCAGCACTCTCCTTTAGAACTATTAAAGCGCAGTATCATATATACCTTTTTCAACATTCATGACCGATACCACCAGCACCACAAGTGAACATTTCCAAAAACCAGACACTATTGATTCCCCACCCATTTATAACAAACCGAATGCCTATGACGAACAAGAAATCGTGTACGATCGACCTCATGAAAAAGATGAGCAGCCCTCAGAATCCGGTGAAGCTATAGAGACAGTGGTACAACTTGCTGTTGGCCATAATAAACGACCTGTCAGTCCCATACAAGACAATGAGCCAGGTCAAGGCAAGGAAACCATACCCAAAGCGGACGATAACGTGGTACACAACAGCAAAAATGACAGCGCCACGAGCATATTATCCAGTAACAGCGATGCCAGTAGTGACAGTAGTAGCAGTCGCGATAGTACAAGTAGCGATGTTTTTGTTACGACGTCCGTCTTGAGTCAAGCACCTAGCGCGACAACCGAAGCAACTGTAAATGACGAGCTTGCATCGCCCTTGTCATACATGGCGTTACGTCGTGGTACATATACCCCTAGCCTATCCAATCCAAGCTTAGCAAACCTCAGTCCGAGCACCAGCACCAGCAGCCGGGATAGCAGCATGCAGCAACTAATATTCAACTCGCTCGAAAGCACCAAGACCAAAAAGAAAAAGAGCAAGAAAGGATCAAATAATAATATGCTGATGTATGAGCTCCGCAAACATGCCCTGGGCAAGCCACACATGCACGACATTTATCCCTATGGAAGCAAGACGGTCGCCTTTCGCAAAGTCCAGCCACACTCATACTCTTGGGGCTTCCAAAACATCTTGTACCGTGCTGCTGCTGATGGCAAGGAAAGCAATGCTGAAGAAGACGCCAAGTTGGCCGAAACTCGACGACGTGCATTCCAAAAGGACATTATCATCGAATGCGGTACCGAGCAGCAAGAATTGGTGAACAAGACCAAATCGCACCTGATGTTTAGCTACGAAACCATTTATCAAGGCTTTTGGTTACGTTGGAGACGACCTAGCTTGCTGTCCCATGACATGACGTGTGAGGTAGCGCCTTATGAGGGACCATTACCGGCAGAAGGACAGCCACGGCGTCGACGGAACTGGAAGCTGTTGGCTGAATTTGATAGTCATCGGATGGGCTACTTGATCCATTTGGGTCGATTGGCTATTGATCAGACTGCAGTGGCATTGTTTGAGGACCCGGAACTGATAGAGGCACATCTGTTGATATCTTGTTGTACTTTGGTTGATCTGATGCGCGAGGTTGTGGAAAAGGCCGTTGGTCTGGGCGAAGGAGGCGTGGCCGGCAGTAGTTAGCACTCTTTATTTTCTTTCTTGACCAGATATCATACATACAACACATAATAGTAGATTGTAGTAATACAACAAAACATGTATACATAGTATACAGCCGTGCATACTACATATAAATCCTACTACACTGCTGCATAATGTCGTTTGTTTGTTTATTTTTGCCACACCACGAGAAAATATGTGTAAATGGATCGATGATATTACGCTGATCTTCCGCTCATGTGGGGTTGAACTTTTCCATTCTTTCCTACTACCACAAATAGTGTAGTGGACTTTTCAAAGAATAGTCTAAAACAAAACAGATAGATCTGATATGTAGAAGGAAATAGCACTTCTTTTATGTCTCTCACTTTGACTCTAAACTAAATTATGCAGGCTTCTGCAACCAGCGAACACCGCCCTTGCTATTCTAGCTCCTACTACATATACTTCTTCTTGTGTATACACATACGTGACAAAATTATATGTATGATGATCGGAGAAAGATTTCCTCCTTAAATAGCCCGTGTGTCTCATGGGGTCGTCGCAATGTATGTGGATGAAACAGCATCCATCTTCGTTTTTTTTTCCAAAAAGAAAAGCGTTTTAAAATATCCGATCCAAACGAAACTGCTAAGACCTGCCATGGTCAAATTAACCCGCGTTCCTTTTTGTTTGCTCCTCATCGTGGAATCTGTCTAGTTAATCAGGGTTGCATATGATATCGATAACATGAAAGGATATTTTCGCTAGACATGATTTCTCGGGTCAGAGATACCTATTATGTTTCTCCAAGGCCAATTGATGCGGTTTTCTGATCCATCTAGTTTTTCGGGTTACAGCTCTTGTTCCCGCCCCCCTTTTCCAATCTGATAGCGCTGTTGAAAATCTTTCTAATAGCTAGTGGATGGAGAACATCATCAGGAAACACAAGATGTTGCCCATTCATCGGCTATTGCTTGTTGGTATATGATTGTTATTCCTATTACTGGTTTGCTTTTTTAATTTGCACATTGCCTATATAAAGAGTAAGCAAACGGCTTATACATGGAATGATGCACATCAAACAAGAATAAAAAGAATTTGTGGATATATACTGCTGCCTGCTGCTTTGTTGTATAGCCATGTACGTTTGTGCATTATCCGCAATCATACAGTTTGCCTTTTTCAATTCCAAACCAATCAATACACAAATGAAAAAACAGTTTCTAACCAACCATGTCCTTTCTTTTCAGTTATCTTTTCCATCTACATAGTACGATCCGCTAAAATCCAACAGTACTCCCTTTTTTTTTCTTTATAAATGTACGCACTTTGTAAACTTCTTTATATTACAGTCTATGGAGTACTTTCGTCCGTACCTCCATACCTTCAGCTCTACTATCATGATGCCCTAGGTTTCTCGTCTGATCAAATCGGGTTTGTCCTGGCTATTGCACCGTTTATTCAGTCCCTTGCTTGTCCACTGTGGACCAGTCTTGTGGATCGACGACCCAAGTTTCATGGTGCAGTCATGGCACTTACGAGCTTCGTCGGTGGGCTTGCCGTCATGGGAATCATGGTACTAGGCCATATCATTTCAGCATCCAACAAGAGGAACGATCAATATATACCACCACCTCAGTCACCACAGCAGCTACTAGTAGCAACTGGAGCACTCATCTATCGAGACGAAGACTCGAAAAGCGACAGCAGTGGCGGTGATTTTGCGGCAATGACAACGATGACGATGGTGATCCAGCAACCACCGCAACTCGATAATCATACCGTTGTGTGGCTCATTTCCATTCTCTCACTATTGATTGCATTCTTCACTCTACCCAATGTATCATTAGTCGATAGTGCAGTGATGAAAATCCTGGGTCCAAACAAAATCTTATATGGTATGTAAACATGCAGTTAGTGTCGAGTGGTTGGACAAGATGTTGATGCTCTTTTGTATCATTGTTGCTGTTTTTATTTACTCACTGCACGTTGTGTGGCTAAAAAAATCATTTACAAACATTCAGGAGAGCAACGGCTTTGGGGATCCGTTTCTACCGGGTTAACGATCTTGGCTGTCGGTGTACTCACGGATTTAACAGGCAGCCTGGATGTCCTGTTTTGGGTGTTTGGTGTTTCGACAGTGGCCTTCATCGTTTGTGCTCTCATGACTAAGGTCACTGATGATTATGTGCAAGTACCAATAATGTCATCGAGTGAACCAGAGTATCAGTACGATGAGGATTCACCAGCAGCAGTATCATACTCTCCTTCTCAAGGTCATCGTTCTACAATGCTTACAATTGACGGCGGTCTCATAGAAAACCTAGAAAGTGATGCCGAGCGAACATTGCGTGTCGGCAGTCATCCAGGGAGTCACCAGCAAGAAGAGGAGAAGCTATTACAACAGTACAACAGCAACAACTACCAAACGATTTCAGCCTTTCACGATAACGATAATGACGATGACGGCGATGGTGGTCACGGGACAACTACATTCAACAACAACAACAACAACAAGCTTTTCAGACCGAAAAGCAGACACTCGATCATATCGACTGCTCATACACTACGCGAAGAAGCTGACGAACAACTAGACCGTAGCAACAACAATCTTGATCTCAGCTTAGCGATCTCAAGGGTGACTTCGACTGAACATTCACTGGGCGCTGGTGTGATTGGTGCTGCTGGTGGAGAATCTTCAGCTGAAGAATCTGGGCTGCTAGTGGACCGGGTGCCTGAAACACAGGAATTATTCAAATCGCCACGAGTGCTCTGTTTTCTGACGACGACATTACTGTTTGGTGTTGTTTTATCCATGATTGTCAATTTTCTGTTCTTGTTTTTAAATCGTGATCTGCACACTCCAAAAAGTTGGATTGGGTGGACTGGACCTTTAGGTGGCATTACCGAGCTATTATGCTTTTGCTTTTCAAAGCAGGTATGTGTGTGTTTTTTATTTTCATGAAACTCTTTTTTTTATGTTCCCATGGTAATCTTTTTTACAAACACATACGTATATCAGATGACGGAATGTTTAGGAACTACTGGTCTTGTCATTGTTGCGCACGCTGCAACAATAATTCGTTGCTTAGCCTATACAATCTTACCACCGGATACATTGACAACAAACATTAGTGCGCTGTTGCTGCAAACACTCCATGGTAAAGAGAGAGAGAGAGAGAGCATTATCACAAACATCACATGATATGCATACAGATAACTAAGAAGAATGGTCTTTCCAGGTATCGGCTTTGGTATATTTTGGGGAACTGCAGTTAGTGAAATGGACTCACTCTTCCCACCTACACAGAGGGCTATGGCGCAGGGGATTCTGGGTGCCTTACATGCTGGCCTTGGCACAGGACTCGGGGCCTTCATTGGAGGTTACCTTTATGAGTACTTTGGGGCTGTTTGGCTATTTCGATCGGCGGCTGGACTTGCGTGTATCAGTATATCAATTTTTTGTGTGGGTCGATTAAAGCGGTTCGACACTACATATAAATCTATCCACTAATTTCTATTGCTAACTGTTGTGTTTATGTCGCGTAATTCTATATTATACATAAATTATTATACCCCACCCATTATTTCATAGTGTTACTCATCCATCAAGTTTCTCTATAATCTCTTGATAAACCATTCTTCAACTATGTATTAGACAGCATATACATATCCAAATCTAAATTTCTACTGTATGTTAAAATAACAGAGAGATCGAGGCAGAAGTACTATTTTCACTATATAACAGCAGCACTTACAGCCTGCGCATGTATTGTAACTTTAGGTTTTCGTACATAAGAACTTAGCGTATATTATGGAGAATAAGTTCATGAAGGTGAAGTATGATTGCTAAGAAATTTAAAGCAGACATATTGATGTTTTGGATATTTTGATTGGCGCTTCCAATGTGGAGCTTCTAACAGTTGACTTACACAAGTTTATTTTTTAAAGTATCGCATTGTGTGTCAGCAATACAGTACACTGGATTTATCAAGCGTAAAACATTAAATACATTTCGCTATCATACAGCTTTCCAAAATTTCATCATAGGAGAGCACATCTGTAAGAGACAGCTTCTTTCTGTTGAATAAAAGGCACCTATGTGGCCTAGTTGTGGTTATATGTAGTACATGTATAGATTACAGCTCGATCAAGTACCTGGGACATTATTAAAAAGCATCATGTGGCTCACTGCGTTTTCCTGGTTAGCCTTTTGTTAAAGCTCAGAGGGTTCATTATAGGATATACGCTCAGCAGTTTATGCTATGTAAGTAGAAATTTAATATGCAAGAATAAGACTGGTACATAATGAGCTACTATGATACAAAAAGTAGAGAGGTTATTTTATACTAAGTTATTAATACTATCTAAAAAAGTTGTTAAAATGCCGGTGTATGATGTGGAAAAGATAAAAAGCAGCCGAAATGATACAGTATCCAACGACGCTAAACTTATGATGTCGGGTTTTAGAGAGTTTCACGCATGGGGTTTCTTAGCAGACTAGAGGGGATCGCTTCACGCGGTTCCGAGTTCACTCGATGCAGCATCAGGATAGTAATAGAAACTGATGGCCAGCAAGAGGTATAATGCAAAAAGCATGAGTCCTTCTAACCAGTTGCTCTTGCCATCCTAAAAATATTAATCAGTAGTGTCACAAAAGTGAGTTAGAAAAGTTTATCAAATTGCTCTAAGACAATCAATTATAAACACTAACTTACCATCATCAAGTAGTTTACCATGATTACCGAAATAAACATGACGGCAGTCTCGTAAATGTTGAACAATAGCGACATTTGGACGTTGATGCCCCAACCAATCACAACCATAAGTGGCGTCACAAGCAAGGCGATTTGCATACTACTTCCAACAGCAACACCAAGGGCAAGATCCATCTAATGACAATTTTATAAAGGGTTCGGGTTTCCCAATGAGTACATCCCGGTTAGTATAATGCTGCTGTTGTTGGGAGGTCCCCACAGAACAATCACCTTATTCTTCATTGCAACAGTAACGGCTGTAACGTGTTCAGCCGCATTGCCTACAATAGGCAATAGGATAAGACCTACGAATGTCTCGCTGATATGCCATTGCTCGACAACATCTTCAATAGCAGATACAAGAAACTCTGCACAGACAGCAACCAAAGCAGTGATCACAAGAAGTCTGAATTATGACAAAAATATTGTTAGCGTGACATATATTAAGGATTTGGGCAAAAAACAAAAGTCTATATTGTTGCCAAGACGATATATCTTGTACAGTTGTTTCCAAAAAGAAACACATTACGCTAGATACTTACGCAACAATGGCCATCCAAAATGGCATCTGTGGCATCTCCTCTTCCTCATCATCATTGCCGGTTGCTTCACCGGGCGCAATACCTGCACCGTTCAGCTGTTCAAGGTCGGTTCCGGCAGTTGACTGACGCTGGTACGACACTCGACGAGCTTCAGAAGGTGGTTGCAAAAACTACATGGTGATAATAACAGAAATAATCATGAAACAGTTTCAGAGTTTTGCTCCTCCTATTAAAGCTTCGTGCTGGTTTCCTCCATTTACAATGTCATACATACCAGATCCTTGTGCGTTTTGAGCTTTAAAAAGGAATATGATACACTTTAGTTATGTGCAGGGGCTATTTACTTGAAAAGCAACATTATATTTAACTGTACCTGGAAGAACAGATACGAGAAATAGATGATGAGCAAAATGATGGACGTGGCGCGAGAAATGTTCAAAATGTCACTTGTAAGTTCCTGGGTCGTCTCAGTTGACCCGACGGAAGCATAAAAAGCTGCAGGGAGCAGCAATGACGTCGTGGCAATAAACAAGAGAGAAGCCGATGTTTGGGCCACTGTCTGATTGAATTTCTGTTCTTGGTAACGTATGCCGCCGAACCAGAAGCACATGCCCAGAACTAAGAGCAGATTGGATAAGATCGAGCCAAGCATCGATGCTTGCACGACAACTACTAAATTCTGCGTCAATGAAATAATCGAAATAATCAATTCTACAGCGTTGCCGAACGAAGCGTTCAAAAGACCGCCGATAACCTGCCCAGAAGTAATTTGGCATGTACAACATTAATGAACATCTGCTCAACCTCCAAAAGCCGAGCATCGAGAAAAGTCAACAAACCTCGCCGGTGCGAAGAGCAATATCTTCAGTCGCGAAACCGAGTAGTTTTGCAAGTGGCACGATCGCGATAAAATTGAGAATAAATGTGACAGTTGGGCTCCATACGAAATGACTGGCGATACCAATAGGAACGAACACGATCAAGACGTTGATCCATGAGGATTTGACAAGAGCCGTCAGACCTTCCACGATTGTGGGATCAGCAGTTTGTTGTTGTAGAGTAGTAGCCTTATCATCACTCGTCATGATGGCAGCGACAGGACTACTTGATCTGCTTTGATGATCTGGAATTTTTGAAACCATGACAACCTCTGAACCGTCTCGGCCTTTTTCTTCTTCTTCTGACGATGATGTTGTTCGATGCGGGTCCATAGTAAGTGAATAAGAGAGTGAATGAGAGAAGGAAGAGAAAAGATGCACGCGGTGTATGTGTGTGTAAATGTAATTCCAGGAAATATATTTTTTTTATTCAAATGAGGCCTTTTTTACTCAAAATGGTTAAGCAAAAATGTCACAAAAAGGGTAAAAATAAGTGGCGGATTTGCCAAGGCTGGTTGCAAAGGAACGAGGCCCGACGCCACAAAAGAGAGAGACCATGTTGTACCACCCCACTTAAGACATCGCGCGCGCTATTGTACATGAACACCAAAGGTGGCTCAAAAATATTTCAGCGCACAGGTTGTAAGAACCGATCAATAAAAAATTTTCTACACTTTACCTTCTTGGCTCCGTTCCATGGACTGCACATAAGGCTTGCTTTCGAACGCGCTTGCACTACTCGTACTGCTACTGTCATCATTTGCTGGCAGTTCAACTGCCATTCCCTTAAGTGCGGATCGATACTCGTATTTCACATGTCCGCCTGCAGATTCGACATCGGTCCGCGCTTGGCTGTATGTGGCATCGGACACGGGCGCTTTGAACACCATGATAAACTCTGTGAAACCAGCTGCAGCAATCAGGGTATATATATCGGACCTGGTGAGCTATATTGTATACTACTAACCCCAACGCAACACGATCAACGGTGTAACAACTTACGTTCAGCTGCCGACACAATGCCTGTCAAGGCAATGAGAGCCAGGATGAGAAATGTCAAAGGCATTAGCATTGATCCTCGTCGAATGTTCATTCTGTCTTTTTTTGTTAAAAAGTGTATAAGAGAGAAAGGGAAAAAAAGAGCCGAAAGTTAGGGAGCTATAAGTAAAAGAAAGTCATGGCTTGCTTGCAACCTTTTATGTCTGTTGTTTCAAAGGTGTGTTGTATATTTAGCTGCATTATATTGTATATATAGATGTTTGCAGCTGTGGTTTACAGTACTCTTGCTAGCTATTAAGGCATATCAGCAGCCTGGAAGCATCCAAGGTTGGAATTTCGAAAAGAGCCTGCATATGAAATCGTTATACATTAAAGAGACACCACAGACTCTACTTGCGATCAATACTACAGACGCCGACAATCCTCGTGTATATATGAGCTTTGGAGAAGCCTTTGTAGTTCCAGCAAGCCTCGTTTGTGCCCTGTGAGTCTCACCCTGCATGTGGGTAAGCTGGTGGCCAAACCAAAACAAGCGATCACACCGAAGCACTTGTTTGGCTATCAACAAACACACCCTGTATGGTAATATTCTCTCATGCGTCCGCACCAAACATTGAGAGCTGCCTGCCGCTTATTGCCGTTCATCATGTCAACATGCATACTTTCTTTTTCTGCATCCTAACATATATCAAAACGATCAAATGATATTTCGATAACACATGCAATGTAAGAATAAGAGCAAAAACACAGACGCACGCATCCATTGCAGCAGCAGCAGCAGCAAAAAAAACAGCAATCTTAACGAAGGAGAATAACGAAGAGAGAAAGGAAGAAAGAAAGAGAGAGAGAGAGAGATTATATAAACAAATAATGATAGTAGAAAATAATATATAAAGTTATAACTTCATTGTTTAGCACAATCGCTTTCGCAAGTGACTATCCAGAATCTTTCGCTGTCGGCCAAGCCATGATGAAGGCGTCGATCGAATGGAAATACCAACACCTTCACGATGGTTGCGTCGGGCAAGATCGTACCACGCGGATATAATGAGCTGCTGTTCGCGCCGTGATTGCACACGAACATTGTGGATTTGTTTCTATATTTACAAAGTGTCAAATCCATGAATAGAAGATAAATAAAGACCCAAGACCTTAATCGTGATGCTTTATGTCTTGTAGAATGAGGATACTAACCGTGAGTAGATCGTTTTCTTCCTCTTTGGTGCGTGGCGTACGGCTCAATAACGCAGCTGGTTCTTCTGAACGCTTGCCAATGCCGTTGCTTCCAAATCGAGCGGTCATTTCTTCTAAAAGTTGGGTATATAGCTTGATCATCTAAAAAACAGTACGTGAGGTGAACATGTCATCCTTTTTTATACGTAGTTAACTTGATGAAAATACATGTATACATACGTCTCGCACTTTACGGATTTTTCCTTGACTTTCGTTGATCTCTTCTTGGAGATGGAGTACGTTAATCTGAAGGCTTGCGTTTTGTTCCTTGATAGTCTCGTGTTCCTCACTAACATGTATATAAAAAAAAGGTTGGGGTTAAGTACACATCTATCACTATCATTGTAGCGAAATGATTTGGAAATACTCTACTCAGTCAAGGTAGGTCGATCTTTCAAAGCACCATCGCTATTGATGCCATGTAGATAGTTTGCTTCAACGAGCATGCGATTGATATCATGAAGCTGCATCTTGGTGATATCTTCAAGTCGGTTCAAACGATCTTGAATCTTGCTATGCTCCTTTTCATAGCTCTGTAATGATACTGCGTCCTTGGCCACGCTGCTTGTGCCTTGCATCACCAAACTTTCAAGTTTGTTTGTGCTGTCTTTTAAGAAATGGGCCTCCTTTTCAAGATCAAGTATACGAGATCGGAACGCCATGATGGTTTGTGTTTGGTTCAATAAGGAGTCAGGGATACCGTTTCGTATTTGTGCTAGCTCTTTTCGTAGCTGGTCTCTCTCTTCAACAACACCAGTAAAGTCCTTTGTTGAATCAAAAAAGAAAGTGTCAGCTATCCTTATGTCTTTATGGGTGCATCAAGTAGACTACTTTACCTTTTCGAGCTTTTCTTTAGATGATTTGATACCGTCGAAATCTTGCTTCACTTGAGCCATTTCCTTGGAAGACACCTCCGAAGAACCGCCACCATTTTGTTCCAATTCTTTGATTTGACGCTTCAGTCTTTGGATATTCAGTCGCCTAATTTTTTTTTGTTTCAACGTAATCATTTGTAAGTGAGCTTGCCCGTCAAAATTTTAGCGACACCCCATCCCTTACATTTCAGTGATATTGGCCTTCTTCACATTCTCCTCCATATTGTTACTGTCAGGATCCACTTCTTCGTCGATTACAACACTGGTGCGGTTGTTGATGGCTTCTTCCAAAGATGTACCTGAAACGTTCGATATGAATTTTCGGGTAAAGATTCCCTTCCTCAGCAACTATTTTGTTACCAGTCCATCCACTGTTTTTTTTATTCGTTTCTTACCTCCACCGAGTTCCATCTCTCGAATCTGTTCTTCTAGTAGCTGCACCTGCTCCATATTACGATCTCGATCTTCTTTTAGATATTGACATGTTTGTGACATTGTATGGAGTTCTTCTTCTAACCGGTTCTTCTCTTTAAGGATTTCTCGATTGCCAGTCTCGAGTTGTTGGACTTGCTCCTTGTATGAATCCATCAATGTCTTGAACGAAAGGACTTTACGATATTCATCCTCAACTTGATGACTACGCTCAAGCAAGCTTGTGTTTTGGTCTTCCAAGGCCTAAATTTAAATGTTTAAAATTAAAAAATCTCACTATTACCCATTTTTCCAATAAGAAAAGTTACCTTGATTTGTCGTTTTAGATCGGTAGTATCTTCCACCTTTCGCTTGTATTTGTCTAGCATACTCTCTAATTTATCCATGCGTTCTAACTCGTGACGATATTCTTCAATGTCATCTCCAAGTGCTTCAGCCTCTTCGGCCTTGACAGTCAGCTCGTCTACTTTTCGCTTAAGCTCGTTGATTTGCGTGAGCTGATTTTCTATCGTATTTTCAGTTTCGAGCCGACGATCTTCACTTTTCTCTCTACATACACACACACACACACACATACAACGCAAAATTACTCAGAGTCATTCATCATTTCGTATCCAAGGAAGACTACAAACACTTACAAGTCCTGCTTGAGATGATCGATTTCTGTACGCATGACATAATCCGCCTTGCCTGTATTGCTTGCCTGTGTAATGGCTTCATCCATATCTCTCAGACGATTTTTCAGGTCTTCTTTTTCCATAATGATGTCATCCTACAGGTGGTAGTACACCAAAGACATTCCGTACCGTTTTAGCTCAAGTCCTAACTTGCTACCATCCGCCTATCATTGAAAGCAAGAATGACTTACAAAGCGTTCACGCAATTCATCGTATTCAGCCAATAGCTGATTGTGCGATGACTCGGCTTGCTTTTTCTCCACGATTACTTTTTCGAATTCAACCTGGTATCTGTATGGCATGTCGCTACTATTGCACATGTGAATAAATAGCTCAGCAAGTTATTATATGTTTATTAATTACCTGTCAAATTGTAGACTTCTCGAAGTAGTTGTGCCTGATGTTCCGGACAGTTGCGAGTTCCGAGGATTGATGCTATCCATATCATTGTTGAAATGATTCATCACCTGTGTGGATAGTTTAGAAAAAACGTGCTCATTCTTAGTAAATTTCTCTTTATAAAAGAAGAATATTTGCCAACTCGTAGATCTTCCCAAACCATACTTCTTCAATAGATAACATGAGGGCATGTTGGCTCTTTTGAGATAAGCTTTGGATCATATCAATGTAGGTACGATTGTTGTCGGACTGGACCGCAATTGCAATAATCAGCTGGCACATTAACAATAGTTCATGCAGGTCCGCGTCTTTGGCAATACCAGCAAGGTTGATGGATGGTAAAAGCTCTGCGTCCTGTCCGAGAACTTCATCAAAGTATCGCGTGATAAGCTTGTGCATTTTTTTGATCGTGTTGAAACGGACGACCCAGGTGCTGTTGCCGTTGGTGGCAGTGTTATTGCTTCCGTCACTGTTGCGCTTGTTCTTGCTCGTCAGGGCACCGCCAGCCTCGTTGCTGCCCAGTTGTCTGAACCACTTGCCGTCACTTTATATGTATGAGCCATTGTTTTTTATTTTTTTGGTCAAAGAGATGATGCTTTGTGTCATGTGCAAAGTGTGATATAGTTAATAGTAATAGAACTAGTGTTGCTGTCCTTACATATCTATAAGCACGCTGGAAAGTATGCTACCGTCTGAAAGCTCGACCACAGTGTCGATAGGACCGGACTTGCCGTCAAACGTGTTGATCTAGTCATAGCGTTCATTGGGGGGAGGAGAAAAGTCAAGCCCGTATTTAAAGTCGATATATGCGTACGTGAGTATGTGGAAAGTGTGAGAATCCCCGCATTCCATAACTTTCTGTAGCTATTTCAACTCACCCATTCGACAAAAGCATCTTCGAGCGCAGCCTCCATCCGCGAAAAGGTCATGTTGGAGGCGGGACTAATGAGGATAATGGAGGAAGGAGAAAAGAAAAAGGTAAGGAAGGGGTTAAAAAGAGGTGTAAGAGGGCGGAGAGAAGGAAAGGGTTACTCGAAAAATAAACACTGTATTCCAGGAACGCACGATACAAAAGTATACTACGTGCAGAGTGGAGTAGGAGGAGTTGTACTTTTTTTTTACACACACACACACACACACAGAGCCAAAGAAGCTCCGGGCTGGGTTACTATACCCGATGATTGGGTGTTACCCAAAAAGAAACAAGGGCGATTCCCACTAATTAGTGGGACGGGATCGTTCTGTAGATCTTTCGGAAGTCGTATTCCGTTGCTTAATTATTATTTTTTTTATATATGCAGTTCCAATTTTCTATAGGATGCGTGGTTCTAATAGTCCAGAGCAACACGAAGCTTCTGATCCTTCAAGCCGTTGGCAATGTTGTCGATGCAGATGTCACCCATCACTTCACGCGCTTCAATGGTTGCACTGCCTGTTGAAGAGAACGCCATTGTAAGCACATTGTCGGGTTTCTTTGTCCTACCTTTGAAAAAATAAAGAATCGTGCTATATTTACCAATATGAGGAAGAATCACACAATTATCCAACTTGAACAATGGGTGATCAGTGGGAAGAGGCTCAGGCGTTGTGACATCCAAGCCAGCACCGGCAATTTGGTTCTCCTGTAAAGCACGGACTATTATATACATGGATGATCATGGTGGGGGGGGAAGGCCTTTATCAGTAACTCATCCTCTTAATGGACATCCAGTCATATGCAGTTGTTTTGACCTACCCAAATCTTCCTGCTTAACAACACCACCACGAGCAGAGTTGACAAAGATCTAGTAACAATTTCAAGTTTAGTTTTTCATTAGTTCTCTACAGCATCATATTGTTTAGACTTACAGCAGTTTCCTTCATCTTCTTAAAAGCATCATAATTAAACAATTCTTTGGTCTCGGGAGTCAATGCACAGCATGCAACCACATAGTCCGATTCTTTCAAGAGCTCGTCCATTGAAGCAAACTCGGCTTTACCCTTGAGTTCAGCTTTCTCACCACGACCCCAATACAACACGCGCTCGACGCCAAATGCACGCAGACGGTTGGCCACAGCTTGTCCAATACGACCCATACCAACCATACCGAGCGTCTTACCGGCAAATTGGTAACCGCAAAGCCAGTTGGGTCGCCATTCACGCCACTACAATATTACATCAATACATGCAAGCCTTATTCTGATTACGATCAATGACGCCATACCTCGCCATTCTCGGCTGCTCTGATACCCTGTTTACAGAAATTAGATCGTGAAGACATTTCATTGTTGATGTCCGCATAATGATTTACCTCCTTCATGCGTCGTGCAGCAGCCAATGTGAGCAGTACAGTCAGATCGGCGGTTGCGTCAGTCAAGACGTCGGGGGTATATCCAATCTTGACGTTGTTCTTCTTGGCCGTAGCAAGATCAATGTGATCATATCCCACACTCATCGTGGTCACAACCTTCAAATTGGGTCCTTTACAAAATAAAACATCGAGAAAAGTTCATCTTCTTCTAATCCATATCCATAAATATGTATCAATGTGTGTGTGTATATATAACTTACCTGCTGCTTCAAACAATTCCTTATCAATCTTGTCACCCAACACACATAGTAAGCCTTCGGCGCCTGTGAATATTCACATATAAGCAAAAAAAAGAAAGAAGGAATAGCCTTATACTATCAGTTTTCTTTTTTCTTCTCTCTGTCTTTATTTTTTTTTTCAAAAGCGTGTTGTCTTTCAAACCTTGAACGTCCTTTAACAATGTGTCGCGTGGCATGAGCGAATCCTGTGGCCATTGAATCAAGTCGAAATCCTGAGCCTTCAAACGCGCCTGAGCGTGTTCAGGCAACACACGTGTAGCAACGACTTTGGGAGCAAGTGCTCGAGCGTTGCTATGGAAATAATTGGCAAGTCGCTGCTGTTGCTGGAAGGCATGACGGAATGCCGTCTGGTTACGGATCGCTGATCGAAACGCCATTTTTTTTATTCGTATAAAAAGAGAAAAGAAGGTGTACTATCTGTTCCTGGAACCTCCCCCCGCATTTTTTTTTCGGGCAATCAATTTCGCCACATCTGGTGTATAAAATGAACTCTATCAAAAAAACGAAATATACCCTCAACACTCATGTAATAACCAGAGCCAAAATTAACCGACTGTGTATATGCAGGATATGTTGAGAAACGAAGTATTTTAAAATAAAAAAAACTCAAGTAAATACATATAGCACCGAGATGCTCCTTTAGAGGATACATTTTCATTTAGATAGGGCGATTAGGACGTTCGACAAAGCGAGCAAGTTCTGTGCGTGTTACTAATTGTGATGGGATTTGATAATTATCAACAAAGATACCACTGACAATCATCGATATATTGCTTGTATGATAATAACAATGCTATTCTTAGTTTGAAGAGAGAGCATGGATCCTGCTGAGGCAATGCATACTCATCATGTGAAGCAATCATTGATACCAACAAAGATGCTCCATTGTTTTGATGTACATGATAGTATTTTGTAAATACTATACTAGAACTCTGAATGCATCAATCTTGTTCATTGTATGTAACTTATTATTAGCGCTTTGACCGTTCCAGCGTGTGCGCACGGTCCTTCCTGTGCTAGGTATTTTTCCATTACCCTTTTGGCTACTCCTATGAAATTTAAAAGCGTGTTTTGTGTTGCTATATATCTTATGGGGTTGTCAGATTAAATACGGCTCCAGTCATTCAACGAATCGATGGGCGCAATGACAAGACCAGCATCCTTCTATATCGAGCATTTAGATCCGGAAAGACCGGATTTCCTTGAGTGATTCAACGGAGGCTCAATTGTTGCAATTGCAAAAATAAGTGTCCAATAGCGTCACTACTTTGGCCTATTCATGCAATATTTTCTTATATAAAAAAAAAAAAGAGAGAGAGAGGGAAGGAACCAAAAGTCTTTTTGCACATGGCTCGCAGGAAATACTACAATAATTTAGGTCCTTCTGGTTTACCCAATGAACTCCTAGGCAAAGTCGTCTGTATGTACCAAAATAAAACTCATAAGCAGCTGTAGTGTAAGTCGCTGTGCTTGTAGAGACCTGTATTTGCGTCAAGTTTTGATTTTCTTGGTCAAAAAATTTATTGTTCACGAAGAAGAAAAGCTGATTCATTATTGTCACAACGTGCACGATGTCAATGCGTTGGCGCTTTGACATTGTTGAACGATGGGTGTCGAGGAGGAAGAAGCAGGATGGACTGTTGGCAATAAAAAGGAACGTCTTAAGGCCATACAATTATTGGGATACATAATGAAAAGGTCGTAGATAATATATAGAACAACTTCATGGCACATAATGGCATTTGAGCCACGGCCAAGTAGACATGTTATCTGCAATTTTAAATTTGGCGCTAGACAGATATACAGCACATTCGAGCAATAAAAAAGAATTGTGATTATTAGTATGCACTGCTTCACCACTTCATCATGATCATTAAAAGTCATATGAGTCGTACACAACACGCTTGCACGCTACTTACAACATGTCGTTGTAGATAGTTATGCAGAGCGTATATAGTACAGTATTCCAAAAGGTTCATTGCGTAAGTCTACAAAACAAGCTTGTTAAAAAAGACAATGCACGCCGTAAAATAGGATATCAGTGTACAGTACAGTCATACACTGAGATACTCGCAAGTATTGTAGCTCGTCGTATAAATGTACATCAAAGGGTTAGTTTTTTCCATCGTCCAATATCATATTATAGCTCAGTAAATGTGTATATTAACAACGCTCAATAATTTAGTCAAGTTGTTTGCCATAGCATTAAATGACTGAGGATTGGTTTTTCAGGTACATCAGTTTTTTTTTTTTTTTTTACAGGCGCGCAACAAATTATTGCGTCGGTTTTTATTTCAAGTCACGCGCATATTAAATATGAGAGGTGAGGAGAAGAAGCTAAGTAGCGTTTGACTAGTTGGCGATAGAAGGAAGATTTTCTTGGGTGCGGGTTAACAAAAGAGAATGAATTTGCGTAATAATGTTATCGGGAACGAAGGGAGAATTGTTTAAAACAAAGCGCCAGTGGGCGTTCCAAAGACATTCTAATATACAGCTGGTAGTTATATCTGAAGGGAGACGGGGAGCATTTTGGGGAAAAATACAGGTGAAAGATGGCATTGTGTACAGCAGATTCTGTAACAGATTGTAATAGTAGGTCGGGCCACACGGAGCACCAGATCGACCATTTGCGAGGGCATTGGTACAGGAAATGAGACAAACCATCTTCATCTTGGTTACAAATTGGGCATACAGCGGATGTGAATTCGGAGGGCATAATTGAATTTAGAGTTTTACGGCATGAAATCTTATTGAGAAGCGCTCGATACCAAACATTTCTTGCTGTTGGCGATATCTTCAATCGCCAGAAGGTATCCCATTGTCTAGGTGTTAAGATCGTATTTTCCCAGACTTCGACGTGTATAGACTTGTCGATGATTGCTTGTCTGAGTTCTTTTGCTGTGATCGTGGTCAATTGTTTATCTTGGACCTTGCACCATGCTCCCAGATCGACCGCCTTATGTTCACGGATAGCGGGATCAATAGAGTTGTGAAGAAGATGCCTCGGGATCAAAGTCTGAAACACCGCTGAATGGAATCCCAACTCACCCAAGTCCAAGAAGCGAACCAGTAGACCCAAAAGGCGCGGGTAGATCAAGAATTCCGTGGCGAGCCGTCTCCGTAAACAGCCATTCGCTAAATCAAAGATGAACAAATCATCCATTAGGATCCTGTGTTTGGCGATGCGTCGTAAGCATACGTCTAAGGTTTTGGTGAGCGGGCGCTGTGTCGGCGTTATGGCATCTAGGACGTGCAGTTGTAGAACTGTAGCAGTCGGTATGAGTTTGGGATTGATAGTCAACCGTATAATTGTCTAAGGCCTTGCATAGCTGATTTGAGAAGCTGACGGGTTTACTCATTGAAGCGGTCCGAAGTCGGGGAAATAGGAGACACATACAGTAATTTCGATCGGGAGGAAAGGAATTCGTTGCATGACTCTTATACAATCTCACGACAAGACATCTAGATAGCAAGTATTACATATGTAGCCGTTACATCATACGTTCCAATATGCCCACCCTTTCCTCTTCGCCTTCAGCTCCTTGTTTCCTCTACATTCGTGAACCAAAGGAAGCATTTCTCTTTAAAAACAGTGAAAACTACTGGCATACCTTATAGACTTTGAACGTTTTATATAAAAACGTCAGGCCTATAAGATAATTTGAATAACTCAAAAGTGGAAGCGGACGATTCTCACAAGATCTCAAAAGTCCAGTGGTAATAATTCGATCGTTGCTGCTAACAGATGCCTGTGCATATCTTAACTACCCTGATTTGTGGCTAACAACATTTGCGGTGTTTCTATTGTAAAGTTACTGTTACCATCGTATTATGTAATCACCAAGTTCCCTTCTCGCTGACGCACTGGCCAAGAAACCTTGACACGGTGCCTGGAAGATCTAAGCGGAGACCCGTATGTGAAACATTCCACGCATAAAGAAGAAATCATGCAGCGCCATAACGACGGCGACGACGACCGTTTCCATAGTACTTGTACTTCTCTAGCCCTCCAACCCCTTTATTTCTCTATTTATTATAGCTTCGCTTCATTCAAAGCGAGCATAGCTGAGAAAAAAAGTTGTTACGTCACGCGTCTAGCGGATATTCAATTATCTATTGTTATTAAGAAGAGAGCAAACTTTCGCTTTTTCTTCTTCACCAACGTTATTGTTTCAAGTTCAACATGAAGTACAACTACGATCGCATTTACATTGACCACCTCCACCGCCGTGTGTTTGAGCCCTGCTTCTATGAAGCCCCCACGTTACCGCTCCTTTGGGAGTATTATCCCTGGAAAACCGTTGGTATTGCCATCGTCGTCATTTTGGTTTGCATTGTCTGCGTTCCTTTCTGTCGGCCGGCGCGTCCCTTTGTTGCTGCAACGATCAAGTTGCTAGTTGCCCTGGTTGCGTTTGTCGCCTTGACAATCGTCCGTTTTGTCCTCCCGTCTCCGCCCGCAAAGCAGTTTTATCTGCGTTTGCCACCATCACCACCGTCTCATGCCGCTTCCACTCATCCCCGTCTCCATTCCTCTCCGGGTAATTACCCTGCCGTCAATGGCGAAGAGCTTGGTGCTGCTCAAGCATTGAAAGGAATGTCGAAGGCTAAAGTTGTGGATGTTGTCGCCGTCGCCGTCGCCCAAGAGCACGTGCAAAGAGAAGAAGTAAAAGCCGCGAAGGATGGTGCCGCGCAAAAGTACGACGTTGAGCAAGCCGCGAAGGACGGTGATTCCGCGCAAAAGTACGACGTTGTCAAAGCCGCGAAGGACGGTGATTCCGCGCAAAAGTACGACGTTATTGAAGCCGCGAAGGACGACGTTTCCGCGCAAAAGTACGACGTTCCTGAAGCCGCGAAGGATGGTGCCGCGCAAAAGTACGACGTTATTGAAGCCGCGAAGGACGACGTTTCCGCGCAAAAGTACGACGTTCCTGAAGCCGCGAAGGATGGTGATTCCGCGCAAACGTACGACGTTGTCGAAGCCGCGAAGGGTGGTGCCGCGCAAAAGTACGACGTTGAGCAAGCCGCGAAGGATGGTGATTCCGCGCAAACGTACGACGTTGTCGAAGCCGCGAAGGGTGGTGCCGCGCAAAAGTACGACGTTGCTGAAGCCGCGAAGGATGGTGCCGCGCAAAAGTACGACGTTGTCAAAGCCGCGAAGGATGGTGCCGCGCAAAAGTACGACGTAGCTGAAGCCGCGAAGGACGGAGACACCGCGCAAACCGACGGCGACGAAGAAATGCACGAGGCTGACGATGACGAGCCTGCGGCTGCTGCGCCTGCCACTTATGCCTATCACCACCACTATCAACACCACCACCGTCACCAAGTTCTTCGATTCCGCCCCTATGCCCATCCTAGCCACCACCATCGTCATCTTCTCCGAAAGCGTCGCCTCCACTC